TCGAGCTAAACACTAATTGATAATATATTTTAGCGTTACTAATGACTACATTTATTAATTAATAACATCCATTACGTTCTAAGTTAATGAAAAACTTGAAATTGTCATCTTCCTTGCGGCAAATAAATTCTTATAAACTGTGATGAACATGAAAATTCAATTTTCTCGAAAAACAAGTTTGAAATAAGAAAATTCTATATTTTCATTTACGGAACTACCACGATTTATGGAACACGCTGTACGTATGTATGCCATACGAATTTTAACTATATTCTAATTAATGAAAATTTGATATTGGAATTAACTGGAACTTCTACCCTTAATAGGTTAGTTTCGAAATCATGTTTCAGAATCAGTCTACTTCGAAAAATACTTTTATTCGTCTCTCGACTATACTATCTTTTACATCTTTTAAAAAGCCTTTTAAAAAGCTTTTATAAAAGCCTATATTCCTTGCAGCGGTGATTAGAACCGCGTCACGCTCATACGTGCGACGCTTACAATAATTATTGAGAAATCAATTAACGGCATATGAAGGCATCGCTAAAAACAACAAATTCCAAAAACACATATCCTCTATTTTAGTCCATAGTTTACATACACCAAGTTGCAAAAAATAGTTCAATATTTAGTACAAAAATTTGAATAAAAATTATAGATTTTCAAAATATTATTTTAACAAATAGAATTTATTAGAATTTTTTTACGTACAAAAATTTAAAAAAAAAGCTTGCAATTATCTCTTTTAATTATGGAGATATTCCCAAAAGTATGATTTCAGCCCTTAATTTCAAGGGCTATTTTCACTCATTCAGTGTGAACGATGGCTAATAAAAATATACGTGTCAAATATTTTCTTGAGAACTGTCTTTCACATAAGTTTCATTAAAATCGGTGTGTCCCGGTTCGATATGTTTCCTTGTAAGTAAGAAAAAAAGAATAGATATCAAAGGAAAAAATTACATAGAAAAATAAAATCATTATACTAGTAGTAAATAATATGATTACGTGCAATAAATTTTGAAAGTAATGAGCAAGTAAAATAGAAAATACTTCTGGACAATAAGTATGTAGTAGAAGGAATTTCTGAATCATGAACCTAATGATTTATAGCGGAAAGATAACTGATATCCAACATATGTTTCCATGACGATGTTGCAATTAATTATTTACATGTATGAAGTAAGATAGCAGACAATGCTGTAGTTTTTTTACTTTCAATTTATTATCTCTACACTTTACACTCTAGAGAAGCTAATTTACATATTAGAGGATCATTTTGTTTTAATTTTCTAATTTAAGTTTATCATTTGATGATATACAGGGTATCTCAGTATTAATGGTATAACCAGAAAAGAAATCATTCTGAATGAAAAAATAAATCAATAACATGCAGTAAAATATTGTGAAATATGACTTCATTTCCGGAAAATTGTATTTAATGGTTCTTCAAAATGTTTGTCAAAAATTTTGTTTACGGCACAAAACAGCACTTTTTAATACTTTGACAATTAATGGATATTGTAAATTAATATATATATCTTTAATCCTATATGTTTCCTTTACTCAATTATGCGAATGCTTTATCACACTATAACAATAAAGTTTCAAACTAATATTTTATTTTGCTCAAATACCTGTAGCATCTCTTTTAACGTAGTTAATATTATAATTGCGATTCATTTTACCAAGACGTTTCGCAACAAAATAATCATATATTCTTTTGATAATAAGTAAGAAATAAGTAAATAACTTCATTCAAGATTTTACTCTTATCGTAGTGGGGAAATGAAACATGCAAAATTTTTTAACAAGCGAATGTACGAGTTGAACTTAAAATCATAAAGAAAAATTTAATGATGTATTTCATAATGCAGTGGTAATTGAAAATTAGGTAAATACCGGTTCATAATATTCTGATTTTTGTTCTAAGTACTCTTCTTACAAGGGACATTACCCAATCGCCAATCGTCGATTTTGATGCGCTTTGAGTATAATATAGAACGCAAAAAAATATTTGACACGTATTTTTTTTTATCGGACATCGTTCATGCTGAAGGGGTGAAAATGGCCCCCAAAGTTGGGGTTGCAAAACATATTTTCTCGAATATCTCAGGAACTATTAGGCCTAGACAAAAAATTAAAAGTGCAAATTTTTCTGTTTTAGAAGGCCAATAATATGGCCTAAGTTGATTTTTGAAAAATTTATTTGTTTAAAAAATATGTTAAAAATTAACATTATTTTGCAAATTTTTTAAATAAAACTTTGTACTATTTTGATCAAATTTTACACATGTAAACTATAGGTCAAAAGACAAAATACGGATAAATTGGAATTTTTAATTTCCCTTGTGGAAAAAATATTATTGTCGTTGAAGTTATACGTACATTTTATACGTACATTTATAAATTGTATTATATTACATTTTTTACACTAACATATTTAAAAAAAAGAATTTGAAGGTCCAAAGGTGCCTGTATAAAAATATGCCGTTTGAGTCAGATATCGCATTTGATCCGCGTTATGGGCGCGTACTGGTGGCAGTATTCGACGCACGGAGGATCTTAACGCGTAAATTGTACTTGTGCGAAGTGTAATATCTTCATAATGATGTAGAATACGTGCAATTAAAGGAATTACATCTGTTGATCAAGAATTGCTTCACGATTGTAAGATATATAGTAACACTGAAATTATTGTCTTTTTATAATTTTCCAAATTGTCTTTTATTTTGAAATGAATTTCTAATGTATTATAAACG